AGAGATGTTAAAACATGGATAAATTTCTTATGAAGATAATATAAAATGTTAATGTTTACATAAGGTTTACGTAACGCGTCGACTGTAATACTGTTAAGATAAGCAACAAAATTTCTACAGCAGGTGAGCAGTAGGTATAGGCGATGTGCATCATGACGTATTCGTGTTTAAGAATTTTAATAAGGATGACACTCGAGTCATCTCGAGTGCATTGGCTAAATTTAGCTTTCTGATTTCAGTAAAGATGGTAGCTGTATCGGAGAGAGGATACTTCCATTGGATCGATTGGCTGGTGTTTGCACTTATGCTCCTCGTGTCTGCCGCAGCCGGCTTATGGCACTTCAGAAGGGCGCAAAAGTCGAACACACAGGACTACCTGCTTGGAGGAAGGAGCTTAGGACTCTTTCCCGTGTCCGCTTCCCTCGTTGCGAGGTAAGCTCGGCTCGCCATTCTACAGGATTTAAGACTATTAAAAGAAGAAAAGGAGCAGATGAAAGACGAAGGCTTTAAAACGAAGGTTTTCGAACGTAAACGGGAGAATTAAGGAGTTCATTAATGTTGTGAAAAATTGAAGCCACCATCAGGAAGCCTTTGATCTTTCCTGATTAGCCTCGCGAATTTTGTATTACAATTTAAAATGAAGATCGAAAGTACACCATACGAGTGTCGTTTATGCGTGCGCTCGTAATTAATGTTAATAATAATAATAATTGACTCGTAGCTTGTTTACTTATCGTTGCTTATCGTTCGGGCTTGATTGATTAGTCATGCAGAATATTTAATCAATTCCGATCGTAACTGTAGCTTCATATCAGGCGTGACGATCTTGGGCACTCCGGCGGAGATCTACAACTTTGGTACGCAGTACTGGATCACGATCATCTCCATTTTCTTCTCTGGTATCGCAGTCGCCTACGTGTATCTCCCTGTCTTTACTACGCTCCAACTTAATTCCGTTTACGAGGTTTGTCCCCTCTGTTTTAATTCGCTTATCTTTTCACTCGGTTTTTTAAAAAGTTAAATTTTACTGTATCGACTACGCCAATTTTCATCCTCACTCACGACTGAATATTCTCTTTGCAGTATTTAGAAATTCGATTCGATCGAAATGTGCGGATTCTCATTTCGTCAATTTTCGTTTTCGACGTGGTAAGTCTTGTATAAATAATATATATATATATATATATATATATATATATATATATATATCAGTGATAATATTCAGATCATCAATTTTTCAAGTTCTTATCTGTTGTATAATCTATATCGATAAATCTATTTATGTATTCGTGATACTCATCCTCCTATGTTGCAAGTCTAATTATTATTATTATATTATTATATTACAAACGAAATATATGTGAAATTTGTTTGAAGTGATAAAATTATAATCCGATTAAAATTATAATAGATTTATGACAATCCATTACATATATCAATGAATCCAGATTATAAAGAGCCCGGGTGCATTAGACGCATGCATTAGTTTCATAGCATCGGCCTTAATCCATGCGCGTATTTGAAGCCTAACACGAGCATCATAAATCCATTATTCGTCGAGGATACATTACGAAGAGAGATCGGACGTTGGCTCGCGATAGTTTATGGAATTCTGATCGCTCCTGCGAGTAGCGGTTACGTAATGTACATCTACCTACATATGCGGGATTTGCGTTCGTCGCTGCGCAATAAAGTTAAATAATCGGTTGAGAATAATCGATTACAAACTGAGATTTTTGCGTATCGAGCCTATCGTCTGTTCGCAGTTACTCCTCGTTTCTGTCTGTAGCCCATTATCGTTTACGAGCACGTGCCACCGCTCGTTTCTTCTTTTATTTCTGTTCCCTTATTTCGATCCCTCGGATGAAATTTTCTTTTACTTTTCTACTTTTTAACGAGAATTAGACGAAAAATGAGAAGAGAAGTTTCAAGAGAGTTTCAAATGGCGCGTGAAATTTTGTCAAATCTTCAATAACTGCTTAAATTCCGTGCCAATCAAGTAGATAAGATGCAATTTTTTTCTTTTCATTAGATATTACAAAGTTTTAAAAGACTTAATTTAATCGAGAAAATTTCAAATTCGAAAGATTATATGATAATATTAAAATTAGATAAAATTGAATGATTATAAATAAATAATTTACTTAAATGTATATTTAAATACAGATTGATTTCATATGATGATATTATTTTACATACAATAAGTTCGTAATTTTGAGTATAAAGAGACATTTAATATCCGGTATAATATCAAAAGTATCGGAATAGAAAAATAAAAATGGGAATTTAAAAAATACATTAATCTCGAAACGTCACATATTAACGACAATTTCCCGATTAGATTAGCAAGCAATATGATATTTCCTGTTGCAAAAATCCATTACACCAATCGATATCTTTCTCATTCTAATGTCAGACTGTCCGATAGAAATTAATAAATTTGATTGAAAACATTTTTAATCAATGGTAAACAAAATTAACTCGAAAATTTAATTTCCAATGTCAAAAGTATGAAGCTTGAAGCTTTTAAAATTTTTAATAGTATCTTGGCAACTGCCCGATTAATTCAGCAAGAAGTTCAAGATGCAACGATGTCGATGGCCTTTTAGAGGGTGTGCATTGCACCACCCTCCACGGTGCGCCACTGTAAAGTCGTCGAATGTCCCGGTGGCCCTTCGTGGGCACGAGTAATCCTCGTAGATTGGCGCGGCACAATAATTCGTCTCGTATCGGCCTCGTGGGGCTGAACTCGGGGTGTTAAACGAGCGATATTTTTTCTCCGGAAATACCAGCATCGGTCGCCGCTGCACCTGTCCTGCGATCTATCTAGCGAGAGGAGGTCCGTACCAGTTTAGTGTGGCTTCCTTTCCATTCCCGGCTTAATCCCGCAAATGTGGTAATCGCGTTCCCGACGCGCGTGCTCGAAACGATATAAAGATTATCGCAAATAATTAACGTCTCGTTAATGTAAAATGGCCACAGCATGGGCATAGCTGTCGCGCGTGCGATATGAAAGATCATAAATTAATATTGATATTCTTGATGATACATTATTGACTTTATTTAATTGACATTATTCGGCGCTTTCTGCAAATCTCGTTGCTTTTTCATTCGGTTTATCATGAATCATGCTTCAGAAAAGGAATTTTTAAAATGATTCATATCGACATGATTTGCCAGCAATTATATCTATCCCGCATAAGTCAATGTTGATATTTTCTTTATATGCTTTCTATACGTTATTACTTCTATACACCATTAAAACGAACAGTCATAGCGCGGCCGTAATAAAATCATAATATATCGTTGCAGAACGACACCTGTAAGACGTAAGAGAGAGTGAGATGGAGCAGCGGACATCACGATATCCGAATGTTGCGGACACTTATCTCGATACGGATGTGTCGAACGTCTTTTCCGGTTGCTCACTATCAGCGAAAAATTCGAGAATTTTACCGCGTACCTGACGTCATCGCACCTGGGATCTTGATTACTAAATCGCAAACTATTCGCGACGTGGACGTCGGTTCTTTATACAAGTGTCTAGTTTACGCGACAGATTTCCGTACGTACGTATACGCAGAGAGTTAATGATACATATCATAACAGAGGATCCCATTTACATTCGCATGGCGGATGTTCAAATATTTAACAGCGCTCGTGTATTTACTCAGACACGTTGCATTGTTGGTATAACACTCTGCGGCTGCGTTTGGCTCTTTGACAAAACGATCCCGCTCGGAAACTCTTTTTATTTGTACAATCCGCCAATTGCCCAAAGATAACGTCATTGAAATCCAGGCACGTATCCAGCATTTTATGAAAGAGAATGAGACGTAAATGCGAGAACAAAGATTTAAGTTTTTTCAACTTTTCTTTTCTGGAGATCGATTTTATTGACCTTTATCTGTGTGCGCTAAAAAGTATATCTCGTTATTAATATTTTGCTTACATTTAAATTAACATTTTACAAAAAGTAGAAATAAACATCACACAGCAAATAATTAAAAATTATAAATTAGAATTAAATATAATAAATGAAAGAGGTATTACATAAAGGACTGGATTAAAATAAGTTTTGCAAGATTAATCGATATATTTTTAAATTTATAATTTTTTTGTTAAATATAACGATGGGAAAGTAACAAGTTTGTCGGTGAAATCGGATGCTGTAGCACGTGATGCGCCTAATGGAACATGGAAATACATGCGTGAATAACTGTACGTTTTTTATCGCGAAAAATGTCGAAAAATACGTCGCTGTAGCACGGTTAGAAATTAATCCGATATGTCGCGAGATATATGTACATGACTCATTGCGCTACGCGGATTTATTGTTTTCCGTGTTGGCGAGAGTAATCCTCTCGATGAAATGAGTGTAACACGACGAGTGTAACGAGAATGAGCTCGTAGCTATGAAAAAAGCAAGATCTCCTAATGAAAGCTCGTCGCCAGCCGCTTAATTAAGGACATCTGTACTCCTACTAAATTCTTCGTTCGTTCCATTCTTCCGGAAGAGACAGCAGAGACGTCCAAGAAAGACAGCAAATACGGAATGGGCGTGAAGGTGAGGTACGGAGGAAGGTGAGAAACGTACTACGAGGTAGCGTAAACAATTCCCAGTACAATTAGGAAGCGTTTGTCCGCCTGTGTTTGCCAAAGGATCAGTAACCAGCTTGGGTAACGCCTAACTATCTGTCACTAGGCGGCCGAGCGACGATTGCTCGGTCATGCGGAGAATTTACGGATGGTTTATAACGCACGCTAAGGGGTAGCAGAAACGCGGAATAATAAGAGGAGAAATCAATAATGTCGGATGATTACTCGATTTACTAACAAGAATGACATCTCATTGTTCATTATCGACATTATTTAATTAATTTGCGAACAATGATTTAAATCTCATCTCGCGAACGTTATGAAAAACATTTCTATTACATTGGTAATTATTACAGGCTATTTAGAAAGGCAATTACAACTAACATATTTGAGAAATTAAGTCGCATAATTTAATATTTTGAATTTTTTATTGTAATTAAAATGATGTGATTAATCCAGAACAGACAAGGTAGAATCTTATTATGGTATAATGAAATTAATAAATTAATAAATATTTGGTTCGATCATTTTTATTCGATGAAGACATGGTATCATATATAATTCAACAACAAGCAAGGACTTTGTCTTTATAAGATTCTATTTTCTCTCAAAAAAGAAATAGTAAAATATATAAAAACTTCCAAATTACTTGGAACTTTATTGTGCATTTAGTTTTCTTGAGATTTACGAATTATATAACTAATTATATGTATTCGTAGACTAATAAATATAATAAGAAATATATAATTTGTTGGTTTATTGCCATTTTTCTCAAATATTCAAAAAACAAAAACAAATTAAATTTTTTATTATTCGAAAGCATCCGCGTATATATAATTAGCCATTGTTTATAGACTTCGCATACATTATACAGTCTCTACGCAATAGACAAGGTCCCAATTCTCAAGTTGCCTTTCGCATAGGAATTTTTTTATTTGCTGTATTATATCGTGCTATTTCATCAATGGAGAAATGTAATCGTGTTATAATTAAAAATAGTTTTAATAATAACTATATCAGTATTTTTGCATTCATTTCTAAATCATTTAAAAAATTGAATTTTTAATTCTGCTAAGCGTGATGTTATAATTCTTTCATCAATAAAACCAAGCTGTATTATCGCGTACTAAATATTTATTTTAACGATAAATCCACGTTTCTTTTCTCGACATGAAAAGATCAGAAACATCGGAAGGGCCAATCGCAGCTGCGACCAGAGCAGATTATACCATCACGAGTTGTGTCAGTGCCGGAATGAAGTTATTGGCGTTCTCGGGGACTCGGGATTCTGAATCACGGAGGAACTTGGCCCGACGTACGGTAATTTGATATCGGATAACCGTTCCTGTCGTCGGCACAACCGACGTGGGCCTCTGAAGGCATACGCACGTCGAGCCTGGTTGCACGTCCAGCGGAAAGCGCATTAACCCGCGAAAAGGACGCGCGCGGATGGGAAATGCTCGGCCAGATTTATCTACCGACTCGTCGTCGCTCTCCCCAATAAAAGCCGGCGACTAAAAGTCAGAATTTTTTATAGCCGTTCTAGATAAACTCCCCGCCGGAATGGCAT